GTGTGGATTGGGGAGAACATAAAACAGTTTCTACCTTCCTATGATTTGAGTATAGGGAACTGAGAAAATGATCATTTGAAATGGGATGGGATGGGATTGCTGAGAGCCTAGTAACAGTGGATAATCTGGCTAAGGGAGGGAAAGGCAACTAGAAGTCCAAAGACCGCTTCAATGTTATTTTGAACCTAAAGCCTGCCATTAAAATCTTGCCTTCATTTAAATTTCATATGCAAGGAGAGATGAGGCATTTATTTTTCTTACAATTTGGTGTCACTCCCTACCAAATAAATTGGACAAAACAGGCACCCTTATTAAGAGAGATTTTGGCTTATATCTTCCCCCCAAAAGTAAATCAATTAAAGTAACTTTAAATGTATTCACTCAACAAATATTCATTGAATACTTGCTCAATAAATGCTTCAGTCATGTCCAACTCTTTGTGACCCTATGAACTGTGGCCAGGTTCCTCTCTCTGTGGCCTGGAATTTTCCAGGCAGGAATACTCTGGAGTGTAGCCATTCCCTTCTCCAGGGGATCCTCCTCCCGACCCAGGGATTAAACCCAGGTCTCCCACGTTGCAGGCAGAATCTTGCATCTGAGCCACCAGGGAAGACCCTAACACTTAAACGCATTCACTCAACAAACATTCACTGAACACTTGCTCAATAAATGCCTGGCTACGCTGTACAGGGGCAAACCAAAAAGATGCTTCTTCATAATACACAATATACAGATGTAAAGATGCTGATACTTAACACACATAGAGAGTTAATAATGAGTATTTTTTAAAGTTTTTTAAGGGGAGTACACATTTAATATGGCCATTTATGGAGTTTTAAAAATAAAGTTGAAACAACAAAACGGACACTCACAGAACACCAGACATTCATTTCACTAACCGTGGGGAGAAGTGTAAAGGAGCATTGCTAATACTTGTCTAAAGATTACTCATATACGTATACATACAGTGGGGCTGGTTTTTATTTCAGTCAGAACATTAGTGTGTAGGAAGACCAGCAACATGCCAGAAGAAACAGAGAAACTTCTATCGGGTGAAGAAGCAGTAAGATGAGTGTCTAGAGAAATAAGAAGGTGGCTGGATTCCCCGGACCCCTGATCTTTTGCTTACAGACAGAGTTGAAATAACAATGTGAGGCTACGGAGCCATACATCTGTTTCTGATTTACTGTCTTCGTCTTGTCCTAGTTGGAGTCATTTCTAGATCATATGCTAGTCTTCAGAGAAGTTACAGAAGGAATTTACACTAAGGGTGAATACATAATTAAGTACATATATAAAAAACACACCATGAGTAGAACATAGATAAGAAATGCATGCAGAAGTCCTGATTAGGAAGAACTGGCAGATGGCTCTTTCACTTTCTGATGTGTGCCACTCACCCCCGCAGCTGACAGTGTTATTACTGTTCTGATTTCAGGATGTCAGAAGCCCCATCCCTTGATTCATCTTCTTGGTTCCTGCTAGAGTGACTTTGGCCTTTTCTAAATTGAGTACTAGAGATGATTCTAGAAGCTATTTTATTCTTGACATCCCTTCATAAGATAGGACTTAATATTCTACTGCTAAATCCTTACCTTCCTCAAAGAATTGCTTCAGTAGGGTCCAAGATGGAATCTGCCTAAGGGACAGGACAGCATCACATGCATTCAATTTAAAAGAGCATTTTTGCCCATGGTGCATCGGGATCCTAAGCCATTCACATTTTTGGTATCCCCTGGAGGTCCAGTGGCTAGGACTCGGCACTTTCATAGCTGGGAGGCCTGGGTTTGATCCTTGGTCGGGGAACTAACATCCTGTAAGCCCCGGCATGATGACAAAAATTTTTTAAAGAAACCATTTATGTCTATTTTGTAGTCATCTCTCTTGCCTTATAAAAGTTTTGTACACACTTTACAAGTTTTTATGCTCATCCTTTTGAATTCTTTTACATACATTGATAATTTTTTAAAGTACTCAAAACAGAGATCCGGAAAATTTTATTCTTTTAGTTCATTTTCTTCTATTGAGAAAAAAAATTAGCAGGTCAGATTAAGCACAAACTATTTTGCAGTCACTTTATTCTGAACTTCACTTTTATAATTTTCTCACCCGACTTGAAACTGCATCTCAAAGATCATGGCTTTTCACTTCAGATCTCTAAAATGTCACTATTTATTATATACTTGCCTTAGCACTGACCTTTGTGGTTACTTTGCTGAAACTCTTGCTGTAATTTGACATAGCATTAACTACTTCTGATTAGTTATCTAGTACATGGGTGATGATACCCACCTTTCAAGAAAGGAAGATCGTTCACACACACAATTTGACAAAATTAGGAAATGGCAACATCAGTTCTAAGAACATAGGAAAAAAACCTGAACAGAGAACTGACATTTCTGCCTGGTGTTAGATAGTGTTCTTTAAAGACCACAGACAGCACGCACAGTTGTAGGCGGAAACAATCCATCTGCAGACACTGGCAGACAGCATTACCCGCCAAATTTGGCCACAGTTTCTTAAGATAAATAACTTTTCGGTGACGCGAAAGGCTGAAATTACATAAACAGCAGAAATTACTAAAACCTAAGCCTACGAGTTTTGTGGTTTTCAAGATTTCATGCAATCAATATTCTGACATCTGTAACACCATTTTGTTGCTAAAATGCTGATGCCAGAAACAGATTAATAATCACTTGATGACTTTTGTTCTGATTTTGAAATAAACTAAGTTTAATTCTTTGGAATAACCATGCTTGAGCCACATTTTCATTTAGGTCATTAAGACAACCATAAGCATCTCCTTATAAGGAAAAGTTTCATTAAAAATGCTGGAGAGCTGCAGCCTGTTTTGAAAACCAATACTTGTAGCCTGTTACATTAATAGTTCTAGATGTCTATGGCTTATTAGATGAAAATACCCATAACAGTTTTATCTCAAGAGTCTGAGCAATAAGAATTTTAAAAAGCTGACAATGAAAAATAGCTGAATATTCTGGGAACTTACAAAATAATAGGAAATGGCATTAACTAGTTATCTTCTAAATCTTTCCCTAGAAATGACTATTCTAATATCTTTTAGGGAGATATCTGAGATTATAAAATAGTCTTCAGAAGGCTGAAAAACCTGAAGAATATGAGAAGCTCCTTGCTAATCTCATCCACAAAACGGCCAAAGTTGAGGCAACATTATCTAGCTGGATTGAAATTCCCTGAGAGCTAATTTGTAACACTGCATATCTTTCAGAAGACTAGCTCCCCTTTCCTTCCCTTGCATAACAACCAAATTCTATTCTTAAAGTCAAATGTTCCAACTTTTCTATTCAAAAGACATTAATGGAAAGTTGAAACAATAGCCCTGAATATTAAACTTCCTAGAGAATGTCTCCTTACTTGTGTTTTTAGTAAATTTTTCTTCCTGTTAATTTTCTGAGAACATGTTGATTGTGAACCACATTTCTATAAAAAATACATCAATCTTTCATAAATTACTTGAGTCAGGTCTACATCTGCTAATCTATTACCGATTATTTGTTTGAGAGAGAACTCATTAATGCCAGAAGGAAAATGTACCTAGTGGTCAATACTATTTAAAAAAAATGCATTTTTCAAATGAGTAGTCTGACACTGACATAAAAAATATGAGGATGACTTTATTAAACACATGAGGATGACTTTATTAAACATACAAATTCAAGAACATTTTTTTTTTAAGAGAAAAAACGACAGCATTAGAAGACAGCAGATCAATGACTCTGGTATACAAGTATAATACTTGCCAAATGGAATATGGATTACGGCAAACTAACTTCAATGCTCAAAACAAAATGAATGTTAAATCTCCCTAAGTTGTATTATACTCTGTGACTACCAAGTGGGAAACTTCTTGGCAGACCTACACCTCTAGACTCAATCCTTTAGTAAATCTGACATGCTGTCATTTATATATATATATAAAATTTTGTATGTCATAATACATAAACCTCTATCTTAGTTCCTTTTCTACTTTGCCTACTTCATTAGCACTCTTCCCAATGCACCCAAGACTCTAGGAAGCATCTTTCTCTGACCAGGACCGACTTACTCAAAATAGGATATAGAGATCTGAATGGCTCTAGGCAGAGGAGGAATCTCCAATTAACACTGTCAATTCTGTGTTCACTATCCTTTTAGCAGCTACCTAATTATATCTAAGACAGAATGCAAAAACCATGTATATTCAGAGAATAAGAAAAGCATTTTGAACTAACAATCTTTACTTTGGTCCCACAGCTTCCCTTTATCAACACATTATTTTAACTTCCCAACTATGAACACAGGCGGTATTTAACAAAGTACCCAGAAGCCTTGGAAAGCGCCATAAAATTTCCAAGGAGAAATGTGTTTTAGATGTGGGTAGAGATGGCAGAAAAATCAAGAGAGAAACCATTAAGAAAAACATGGCAATTCACACAAAAAAAGTATTAAAAAATGAATAAATAAAACTCAATTTTAAGTAACATTCCAATATTTTCTCATTGTTTTAGTGTTCATAAAAGGTATAATACATGCCTCTAAAAAAGGAAATTATCTTCTCTACCTCCAGAATAATCAGAGGACCAGCATCAGGTTGAGTTTTCCAGAAACACACATAGCTCAAAAAACCCAGTAAACCTGAAGTCTTTAATCCCTATCACAACCCTCAGTTTCAAGACTCATACCTTGAAGCCCTATGTGCCAGGCTGACTGCTCCTATTTCTTCAGATGGCAGTGACAAACAATTAGGTAAATGAAAGATCTGATTCTACTTGGGTAGATCTAAGTCAAAGACCATTTTGTTAGTCCAAGAACTACCCTAGGCAACTTAAGTAATCTTAATCCGTACTTTAGAATCTGCTAGGAGAGCAAATATTAAATAAATTACTCACCCTGACCTTGTCTCTAATCAAGAATTTATGGCTATTACAAATAACTCTTTTTCACTTTACCTCAAATACACAATAATAAACATTAAAGAATAATCATAAACTCATATCTTTAAAAAATGGATGCAACAAAGCTTCCTCTGCTGTTATTCTTGAAGCTGGATTCAGATCTAGGAGTTTATCAAGCAGGTCATAAGCTTCATCAGGCACCTCATCCCAGCCTTCTAGATTGGTAGTAGACTCCTCAAAATTGCCCCCACAGCCATTACTGTCGCCTTTATATGATGAATTCCCTGAGGGTTGCACTTGAGGTATTTGTATGAAGTGAGCAAGTTTACGGTTTTCTGTCTTCTCTGAAAAAGCTGGGTCATGAGAACTGCACTCTTGTATATCACTTGTTAATTTAGAAGTGTTAGAATTTATACCTCTGAGTTTCTCACAGAGTTTTCTCAAGTCTTGTGCTGGAACTTCTTTGCTACACAATATTGACTTGCCTAAAAGAGAAAAAATATATATATATTATATTATTTGAATATATCAGAAGTCTCTCCCATGAGAAACATGCAAGCCCAACTGTTTGCTTTGTGCATATATTTATGCTGAATGAGAGATAGAGCACCATGTGCCATATTTTAGTTGTGTTTTACATCATGTAGTTGAAGGTCAAATCATAAAGTGGGAGATGGTAAGTAGAAAGCAGTGCCTTAATAAGTAATATAAAGGACTCTCCTGACTCTGCCAAAATCTTCAGCTTCATCATATTCTGTAATCTTTAATCAGCTGCAGTTCCCATTCCCTCTTCCCCTTCCAAGCTTCTACAAGTTTCTGACCACGTTTCCTGTCTTTGATGAGGATGCCCTGCACCCCCTCCACCCCCATGCCCAGAATACTCCCACTTACATCATCACTCAGTTCAAGCATTATTACCTCTGTGAGGCCTGACACTCTCAGAGAGTTGATCATTCTAAGCCTCTGTTGTATCCTGTGACAACTTCTATTATTAATTTGCAGTTCTGTATTGTAACCTGTATTGTAATATCTGTCTGTCTAACCTACTAGACTATGAATTCTTTGAAGATAGAAGCTATCATTTTCTCAACTGAAAAACATACTCATGCAAGAACACAATTTCTGATGTAACAATCTTGCTTTCCTTGTATGCGGTACTTCATCCTATTACCCTCAGATAAAATTTTCTTGTAACATTCGGTTGGTCGAAAGGTTCTTTCGTGTTAAAGCTCCGAACGAACTTTTCGGCCAACCCAATAGTTTCCAATAAGGTACAAGGTTGTCGACTGATGGCTGCAAGACCACAGCTGCCACTGACTTCCTGGTAGATCAGACCATGGCACTGGGATGGATAATCATTTTTGCAGTGGTTCATACTCAGAAATAGCTTTTGATTAAAATTACTTGTTTTCTCAAACTAACAAATGTCAACCCTTTCTATGTATAACATTTTTCTGAATCATATTTTCCAGGAAAAGGTGGGGTGAGACCAGTATATGTATTTCCTGAGGTTCCTCTGATAATTTCGATATGTAACTTTGATTAAGGCACACTGATTCTGGGGCTGGGCAAGAGGCAGCCCAGCTACTTTTGAGGTGGGTTGACTGAAATTTTGTCCCAAAGGAGTGTCCCATAATTTGTAGTTACAACACCAGAGAACTTTACAAACACATGACATGTTTATTTGTAGAGAATTTTGTAATAATTTATTAAGTGATCTGCAGGAGATTAGCAAAGGTATGTGTTTCATTCTATAATATAAAACTGCTTACCAAAAGTTTTAGCAGCCTGGATAGTTTCCCTGGATCCACGAATTGTCATAATTTGAGCCAAAGCAGTTAAATCATCACTTGCTTTATAAAATGGATATCTTCCACTAAGCAAAGAAAGGAATATGACGCCTGCAGACCACATGTCAATTGCTGTAACAGAAAACACACTTAAAAAAAAAATCCCCAATCTATGATACTTCTACATCAGTAGCTCTCAATCTTTACTGTGTATTCAAACCCTCTTAAGAACCTTAGAATAATTCTGATGCCCTGCCCCAATCCCCTCAGAGGTTCTGATTTAATTGTGCTGGAGCAGGGCTGAGGCATCAGTTTTTTAAGCTCCTCAGGTGTTTTTACATAATTGCAAGGTTGAGAATCCCTGGTCTAACATCCTTAATGCAAAATACAGTATTACCTTTCTTAAGCAATATGAAAGTTGGTTAAGTTTAAAAGGATATTTCATCACTAAGTGAAGGCACATTTTATAACATCAAAATACATCCAAAGTAGCTACATAGGAAAGAAAAATTGAATGCACCCCATGAGTTACACAGCATAGTATTGAGAGTGTTTCACTTTAGTGAAAAGTATTTAACATTAGAAGCTCATCTTCAGCTAGATGCTAACCCTAACTTTTATTGTGGAAACTTTAATCTCCAAAGTTCTTGCAGTTATGACTAAGACCAGCTCAGCCTCATGTGAAGAAACTCATTTAAAAATACATATTTAGGGATCTCTTCTCTACTAATGGTTGAACTCCCAGTATCACCAGCCCCTTGACCACTGCATCATCTGACATTTTTGGGTCCCTCTATACCTCTGCCTGCTTCTTCAATGTTTTCTCCAAGCCTTAAGGGCTGACTCTCCCCAGAGTTCCAACTTCTATCCTGTATACTCTCCCTGACTGGCCCTTCATCCACTTCACAGCTTCAACTATTAATACCTTTTACACAGTCCAGACCTCCCTGAACTTCACTTACTTTTTTTCTGTTGGACATCTCTACGTGGATTTCTACAAACATCTCAAATCAATGATGACCCCACTCATCTTTACCTTTCCCTGTACATGTTACTTCTTTATTCTCCCCTTGGTTACTGGTACCCATTCGAATCTCCCAAGCTAGAAATCTGATCAACATCCTGGATGCCTTTTCCCCACCAGCTCATACCCAAGTCCCACATCCAATTATCCATCAAGCTCGGCTGCCTTTCCAATTCTTCACTTTTCTGTTCATTCCTATTATTAACATCCTCGTTCAGGTTTTCATCATCTCTCATCTGGACCTGCACGCACCTCCTCTCTGTATACCTGCCAGAATGACCCATCTAGAATACAATTATTACCATATTTTTCCCTAGAATAACTTTCCAAAACCTACAGGATATAGTTTAAGCCATGTAACAACTGGGATCCAAACTTGTCTATCTCTCTCCAGGTTGGTTTCTCACAACTCCTTGACTTTCACCATACATTCTAGCAACACTAAACTTTTATTGATTCCTGTATGACCATGCTGTTTTTTGAGCTCCTCTGCCCACGAAATCCCCAATTCCAATTCATTCTCTTTTCAGACGTCCTCTCTTCCATGAACTTCCCTCCATAATCCCTTCAGATAAGAAGAGTTAAATATCCCTAAAATACTCTTACAAAGGTTTATAACCATACTTAACAATTACTTTATAATTATTTGCGAGTGTGTCCTGACTAGAGTGGAAGCAGATAGTTTTATTCATTTTTTTAGGTCATTAGCAAGCAAAGAATAAACCCACAATCAATGAATACATTTCTGTAAAGTCCATGATATAAGTGAATATAACAGGATTCATCTATTCAATAAGATGTTTTCTGGGTTCCTGCATCACGACAACTCTTTCAAGTTACAGACTTTTTTCTTTTTCAACATAGTTTTGGCGGTCCTAGCTATAACAATCAGAGAAGAAAAAGAAATAAAAGGAATCCAGATCAGAAAAGAAGAAGTAGAGCTCTCACTGTTTGCAGATGATATGATGCTGTACATAGAAAACCCTAAACATAGTATCAGAAAATTACTAGAGCTAATGAGTGAATTTAGCAAAGTTGCAGGATACAAAATCAATACACAGCAATCACTTGCATTTCTATATACCAACAATGAAAAATCAGAGAGAAATTAAGGAATCAATCCCATTCACTACTGAAACAAAAAGAATTAAATATCTAGGAATAAACTTACCTAAGGAGACAAAAGAACTGTACACAGAAAATTATAAGACACTAATGAAAGAAATCAAAGATGAACATAAACAGATGGAGAGATATTACATGATCCTGGGTAAGAAGAATCAATATTGTGAAAATGACTATACTACCAAATGCAATCTACAGATTCAATGTGATCCCTATCAAATTACCAATGGCATTTTTCACAGAATCACAACAAAAAATTTCACAATTCATATGGAAACATAAAAGACCCCAAATAGCCAAAGCAATCTTGAGAAAGAAGAATGCAGTTGGAGGAATCAACCTTCCTGACTTCAGATTATACCACAAAGCGACAGTCATCAAGACAGTATGGTATTGGCACAAAAACAGAAATACAGACCAATGTAACAAGATAGAAAGCCCAGAAATAAACTCATGCACCTATGGGTACCTTATTTTTGACAAAGGAGGCAAGAATATACAATGGGGCAAAGACAGCCTCTTCAATAAATGGTGCTGGGAAAACTGGACAGCTACATGTAAAAGAATGAAATTAGAACACTTCCTAACACCATACACAAAGATAAACTCAATGAATTAAAGACCTAAATGTAAGACCAGAAACTATAAAACTCTCAGAGGAAAACATAGGCACAACACTCAATGACATAAATCAGAGCAAGATCCTCTATGACCCACCTCCTAGAGTAACGGAAATAAAAACAAAAGGAAACAAGTGGGACATGATTAAATTTAAAAGCTTTTCAACAGCAAAGGAAACTATAAGCAAGGTGAAAAGACAACCCTTAGAATGGGAGAAAATAATAGCAAATGAAACAACTGACAGAAGATTCATTTCCAAAACATACAAGCAGCTCACACAACTCAATACCAGAAAAACAAACAACCCAATCAAAAAGTGGGAAAAAGACCTAAACAGATATTTCTCTAAAGAAGACCTACAGATGGCTAACAAACACATGAAAAGACGCTCAACATCACTCATTATTAGAGAAATGCAAATCAAAACTACAATGAGTTATCACCTCACATGGGTCAGAATGGCCATCATCAAAAAGTCTACAAACAATAAATGCTGGGGAGGGTGTGAAGAAAAGGGAATGGTCTTGCACTGTTGGTGGGAATGTAAATTGATACAGCCACTATGAAAGACAGTATGCAGATTCCTTAAAAAAAAAAAAACACCATATGACCCAGCAATCCCAGTCCTAGGCATATACCCTGAGGAAATCAAAATTGAAAAAGATACACGTATCCCATTGTTCAATGTAGCACTATTTACAATAGCTAGAACATGGAAGCAACCTAGATGTCCATTGACAGATGAATGGATAAAGAAGTTGTGGTACATATACAGAATAGAATATTACTCAGCCACAGAAAGGCACACATTTGAGTCAGTTCTAATGAGGTGGATGAACCTAGAACCTATTATACAGAGTGAAGTAAGTGAGAAAGAGAAAGATAAATATAGTATTCTAATGCTTATATACAGAATCTAGAAAAATGGTACTGAAGAATTTATTTAAAGGGCAACAAAGGATAAACAGACATAGAAAACAGACTTATGGACATGGGGAGAGGGGAGGAGAGGGTGAAATGTATGGAAAGAGTAACATGGAAACTTACATTACCATATGTAAAATAGATAGCCAAGGGGAATCTGCTGTATGGCTCAGGAAACTCAAACAGGGGCTCTGTGATCAACCTACAGGGGTGGGATGGGGAAGGAGATGGGAGGGAGGTTCAAAAGGGACAGGATATGTGTATACCTATGGCTGATTCATGTTGAATGTTGACAGAAAACAACAAAATTCTGTAAAGCAATTACCCTTCAATGAAAAATAAATAAATTTTAAAAATCTCTTTATACACTATTATACTGTTTTCATAATAACAAGAAGAATTTTTAATCAAACACACAATCATGTGTGTCCCAGAAGAATTTTGAGGTATTAGGCAAACATAAAAAGTTACAAGCTTTAGCAAAGACTACTAAATACAATTCCCCCCCCCCCCCCAACAAAGGTAATGTTAAAAGTATTCCTAAACCATCTTGTAAATAGATAAGCAAAATGCAATCTATTGGGGGGAATAAAAAAGGCAACACTAGATTTCATTAATAATACTATCTCAAAAAGGGAATGTCACACTGCTAGAACCACTTACATAATTTAGTTAAAAGCAGAAGAGCTCAAATTTAGTCATAAGTAGACAAAAATCATAAAATGAAATTTATGGCAACCAATTTAACTAGATTCTGTATTTCTGGTGCAACATACCTGTAGTTTGATTGGGGCACTTGGTCAAGACCTCTGGTGCTCTGAATCCTGGTGTACCTGCCCTGGGTGCAACCTGCTGCCGCCTTATGATGATGAAATAAGATTTTTCCAGTTTAATTATTTAAGACCAACAAAATAACACTCATCAGTTTAGTTCACAGTAAATTCTACTTTGACATCTATATAAATAAAAGCTATTACAAAGCAAATGATAACCCAGTGGGATGAAAATCCTGGATTTTGCTTCTACAGGCCTCACCCCACACACCAGTTCCCAGGCCTTATTTCAGAGGGGCTTCCATACATAAAAAGAGGTAGTGTAGGATACGAGTCATAATGGAAAAATAGAATACAACAGGAACTCTGGGATATAAAAATTTATTTCTGTTTGGAGTGATTAATTACGGAGATACTTGTTCACTTATACACTTGAGTTAATCAGGAAAGGCTCATGAAAGCTTATGAAAGTCCTGAAGGGAGGAAAGGAATTCATGTGTGGCAAAAGAGGCGGGAGGTATGAGGGAGAGAAGCGTTCTAGTATCTGGTTCAGGTTACTCTACACAGGCAGGAATAAAGGAAAGAAGATAAGCTTAAATCACCAAGTAAAGCATGAAATTTTGAGGTTTCAAAAGAGCTATCCCTACCCCTACAAAACCATTTCATGTAAAAGCAACTGTGCTTCCCAAAGAGCACATGTGTGTAAGGGGACAAACATGACAACAGCTGTCATCTACTCTTCAAGATACTTATCTGTATTAGTGCCTGTGCCGTTCACAGGACCACCTTTTTCCTTTTCACTCACTTATATCAATTGTCTACCAAAATCAATGCAATTTCTCATCTTGTCTGGCACCATACTAGTGGTTTTACAGCACCATCAAAACACATTACCTTGAAAGGCAAATACTGCAAACTTTATCTGTTGCATAACAGTCACAAGTCAGGCTAGCTGGGCAAGAACTAGCAGTTTTCCTCATCACACCACTATTCATAACTTTTGTAGAAATGGTCTTCTTTTTGGTTCCTAATTTTCTAGACAGTAAATCCACAGTCTTTGACTGCTTCATAAGCTGTAAAAGAAAAGTCATAGCCTCTATTTTCATGACATTTAACATGATGCTAGTATATGCTAGTAACAGTAAAAGCAATAGGGGAAGTGTAACTTTCAAAACCGCTGAACAGGCTTTTGGAATGTAAACAAACACTTGCCTATCAAAACATTTAAGGTCTTTTTAGGTTTCTGTGTTGAGTAAACATAAAAATTTACTAACTGGTCCTAGTCTGGTGAATATTTGAATTACACTTTATTAGAACTTTCCCTGAAATGTTACAAAGTATAAAACAGTTATGTTCTAGTGTCTAACTCCATTTCAGAACTGTAAACTGCACAATTACATCAGCTAAAATCAGTTTTAATTTGTTGCTCATGCTATCTAGCTGCTACAGGATATTGTAAGTCCATTTAAAACCATTTAACATTGATGACAATTTTGTAAACTTTACAAACATCTTTACGCCATCAACTGTGTGTCATAAATGTGTTAGTTGTTGGGAGCTCACAACTCCAGCCAAGGAGAGATAAGGCCATTCAGACAAGGTCTAAATGAGCAACAATGAAGCAGGTAATCAAAAATGACAAAAAATTCCACTAGAAAAGTTCATACCTGGAGAAAATGAAAGCACTGACTAGATAAGATGCTCAAAGCAGTAATACCTTCTGCTAAAGAAAAAAACCTTAATAACTTACTGATAATAAAACCTAATCTAGCCATTCCCTAAATTCTCTCCAGTGTGACACTGACTGATGTTTGTACTATGAGGCTAAATTACTTACTTTCACTGCAGGGCTCTCATGTGAAATGGAGCTGTGTATATTGAAATTTCTTTCTCCAAAAACAGAGCGCTGGACAGAAAGGCCTACAGATCCCTCCTACAATACCAACAAAAACAAGGAAAAGAAGGATTATATCTGTAACACTTTCTGCCAGCTGTACTCTGCCATAGTTTTGAGAGTTAAGTGACATAAAACAAAAGCAGCTGCATCCAAGTCATCCTCAGGCACCAAAACACTTCTGTGAAAGGAGAAAATAGTCTAGACAGAGCTCTTAACCGCCATACAGTGCTATCACAGTCCACAAATACACATAATTGAAAAATTATAAAACCACCTGCATGGATGTTACATGTTGCTGTGCAGCTAAAATGGAGATAGACACTTTGGAATTTTTTTCCTCTATAACTAATGTTTTCCTTTTAAAAAGGATAATATAAGCTTTATACATGCAGGGAAAATTTTATGATTTTCCATTTTTCTTATATAATTGTAGTGACAAAGACATTATAAATCTACAAGCAAAATGTTCAGTTTTCAAATCATAAAACAACCCATTATAAGTCTCAGTGAAATCTAACAAACTGAATATATAACAAGCATAAACAACATATATATATGTATGTATTTTTCAGTTGCAAGTATCATCCTAGAATTAGAACTCCCTCTGTTGGACAGAGTACATTTCTAAAACTGTATTGGTACTTAAGAAATAAGAGGTAGAACCTTTCCATCTTTTCCATGTTTAGTCTGAATTTGTGCATTTGTGTAGGGCCTTTTAACAGAAGTTTTTGGGGTAGACTGCTGATCCAGCTCTTTAGGTGCTGCTGGGCCACTCAATGAAATCTTGTTGCCGGTGATTACATAGGATTTATTTTGTGAACAGCTTTCCTGGTGAGCTTCAGACTGGACAAATTTGAGAAGCTCTATTTTAGTATCATGGGTTCCTTGGGCCAAACCAAAGTCTACCAAGGCATACCTATGAAACAAAAATAAGCATTTTTATTTCTCTGTAACATTGAAAGCTTAGTAACATCATAATATGCTCAAATCATATTCATACAGAAACTGTAAATCTTTTAGTGATAAATTAAGGATTTAAAATATTCTTGAAGAAAGAAAAGTTAAGTTTTATAGACAAGGTAAAACTTGTCTTAGACAATTTAATAGCTAACTACTGAAAATTAAGGAAAGATGTCTTCCACACATAGAAAGCATCTTTTCTCTCCTTCTTCCAATGGCTTGTTCAGAAAAGGAATGCAGATGTAAACACAACCCTTTGTTCTCTGATGGTGGCAGAGATGGCATCATAGCAGATAATTTTTAATTAAACAAGTTTAAAATAAAAATAAAATAAAAATAAATTAAAAATCATGGTTTAAATTTACAAGTCAGGAGTACAGAAACCCAAGAAAAGAGGCTATGGTTCTATTTTCCTTACTATACTCAATATGATCCACTGTATAAACAGCAGTTTTTAAGTTGTCAGCTTACAATGCCTCTATGTATATCATCACCAGAAAAAATAAAAAAGTCAAAACTTTTGGTGTTGAAATAGGAAATTGGCTATCATGTGGCCCAATCCCCTCATTTACTAAAATGAAGTCCAGAGAAATGTTTAAGGTTTAAAAAAAAAAAACTAGACCTTTTCTAAGTCTCTTAGCTATTTCCACTGAGCCATGGCACCTCACACTCTGTGCGACCCCAGAGACGGCAGCCCACCAGGCTCCCCCGTCCCCGGGATTCTCCAGGCAAGAGTACTAGAGTGGGTTGCCATTGCCTTCTCCACTAATGATGTATACTGTCTTACTAACACAATTTTATCTTCTCCTTGAGGGTATTTCCTTCCCGAACCACAGTGAAAATCCGAAACAAAACTCTGTGCATGGTTGTTGTGGTATGTTTTAAGTCAAAGAGACGGACCCCGCAGAACAAATTCATTCAAGTATAAATATTTTCTGGTAACTTTCCATACTTACTTTTTCAAGTGCCTATTATATAAAAAATTGCTGGGCTTAACATCACGGTGAACAATACCAAACTGATGAATGCGTTTCAAAGCTTTGAACAGATTAAACATATATTCCCGTACTTCTTGAAAAGAAAGAGAATTCAAAATGTCCTAAAATAAAGTTATGAATAAGGTTATAAGATTGTTTTCAATGAAATATTTAGCCGATAAAAATCCAAGAAATATTAAAACCTACCACAAAGGACTCATGCTCCAGATATGGCATAGCAATAACCACATGATCATTTTTCCTAAAGCAGTATTTAACTCCCATGACATTGTCTTGCCCCCTAGTGGAAAAATGCACAATGAACTTTGGAGGAAAGGTCAAATGAACTGAAACTTTATGCAGTTTTTTAAAAAATACAATTTTAGCAATAAATAACACAAGGAAGCTAACTTAAAGCTATCACCATACACGATAGCATGCTCACTTAGCTGAGATTTTTTTTAAAACAAAAACAGCACCAGTTATGAGGTTATAATTAAAAAACAAAGATAATTATAGCTTTAAATGAGGAAGTGACAGAATGAGAAGGAAAAGATGACTAATAAAAATGAATTAACAAGACTTAAGAGATAGGATGGTAACAGTAATAAACAAACCAATTAAAATAGCTAATAATTATTGAATATTCACTACATGCCAAGCTCTGATCTAATTGATCAATCATAGCAATCAATAATTCACATAACCTTCACAACAACCCTATAAGGATGGTACTATTATTTCCTGCCCCCCCCCCAACCCCGGCCCCCCGCCTTGTTTTAACAGATAAGGACACTCAGGACCAGACAGGCTAAGGAATTTCCCCAAGGTAACTAAACTAGCAGATCATGGAGCCAGGATTTGAATTCAGGCAGTGTGCTCCAGACCTAGACTCTTCACCACACCACTTCAGAGCAAAATGAGGGAAACAGGGTAAACTGATTTCCATGGTTTTGAGTCTGAGTAAAACAACATAGATACCAACAAAGCATGCAGAGAAAACAGGGGGAAAAAAAAGCATTAAAACTAAAACCTCATCAATGTGACAAAGATATCTAGATACAAGACTACATCTTAAGTGAGAAGTCAAGTGTCAGTCAGTGACTGTATTATAGATAAGTGATTAAGTTGTGAAATTATTAAAGAGAAAACTGCTGCTGCTGCTGCTAAGTCACTTCAGTCGTGTCCAACTCTGTGCAACACCATAGACGGCAGCCCACCAGGCTCCGCCGTCCCTGGGATTCTCCAGGCAAGAGTACTGGAGAAGGTTGCCACTGCCTTCTCCGGAAGAGAAAACTGAGCCTTGGAGAAATCTCAAGTTGGAGGGCAAAATAAGGCAGAAAGCCCAGGCAGGAAGGTCCACAAGTAAGGAGTTGTGAAGCAAGGGGTGATCAGTAAAGAGGTCAACAAAAATAAGGATTGAGGAAAGGCTTCCATTCTGGTGAAGGGGAATTAACTGCAAAGTGGAATTAACTAATTTTCAGAAAGTAATTTAAGTGGAAAGAAAGAGGCCAAATAGGATTTAAGGAGGAAAAACAGAATACAATGGAATCAGAACATAAAGATGGTTTTCCTGAAGTATCTGTCAAATAAAAAGTAAAAACCAGTATGGGAACTAGAAAGGAAACAGGATCAGGTAGACTTCTTTAGCAGGTACATTGCTGAAGAACTAGGAAAGAAAAAGTTGTAGGAGTTGTTTACAGTATAGAAAAAGGAATAATCTTATTCAGGGTACTAGAAGGTAGGTGTCTTACAGTAGCCACCTTATGCTGCTGTCTTCTATAATAAACAGACAGCATGTTCATTCATTCAACAGATGGTTAGTGCGCCCTGTTAATCAACAGACACTACGTTAGACATTTAAGGATGTGATGGTGAATTAAAATTAACATGATTTCTGCCCTCATGAACTTTACTATCTAGTGGACAATATGGATAATACACCATATTATTATATTTGGGGTTTTAAAAGAGACAAAATATAAGGGTTTTAAAAGAGATCAAAGGGTGCTATAACAATGGAAAAAAAAAAAAGATCTCATTTAAATCAAAGATGGCTTTGAAGTGATACTGTTGTTGCTCAGGGCAGAAAGACAAGGAGTCACATACAAAGACTGGCAGGGGTCTTCCTGGTTAGGGAAGTAGTATGGGGAGTGGACCTGAAGTGAGAAAGCTCTGACTCAAATTTGAGGAGCTAAAGAAACTACAGCACAGTGAAGAAAGCAGAAAGACTGACATGAGATAAAGCTGGATATTTTTCAAAGAACATTGAGAAAACATTGAACAATTAGTGGAACTAACAGTATCCAATTTGAATTACATACATACATATTTTTATATTTTAAGGATCAGTCTGGCTGTACTTTGACTATGGGTTTAAGAGAGGAAGAGAAGAAGCAGGCTATGTAGTAATCGAGGCTTGGACTAAGCCAGCAGTTGAGAAGATAGACAGATATGGATGAGATTTTAGATGTATTTGGGAGGCAAAACTGCCAGGACATGATGATGGATGTAGACTAGGAGAGATACAGAGAAACTGTGATCAGATTACTGGCTTCAGTATCTAGGTAGACTATGGTGCCATTTGTTGAGATGGACAGATGAAAACAGACTGTGGCAATAGATAATTCTGGGGGCCAATGAAGGTGGATTAAAATTTACTTTCTGGCATACTAGGTTTGAGATGTTTATTAGGTACCCAAATGGAAATGTCAAATAGGCAAGTGGATATATATATATATATATATATATATATATATATAAATCTGCAGTTACGAGTTCTGAGGTTATAACACTTACGGGAATCACTACTATGTATTTAAACCCATGTGGAATACATGACACCACTTAAGAAAGTCTAGAGAAAGAAAAGCCCAGGATCAAGAACTGAAGAACTCCAACATTTAGGGGTCAGGTAGAAGAGGAGGAACTGACAAAGGATAACGAAAATGAAGGCCAAATAAAGCAGGAAGAAATCAAGGAATAGATAGCAGTAGAGAAGTCAAAAGACAATGGTTCAAATGAATTATGCTAAACACTGCCAGGAATTCATGTGAACAGAAAAAGGAACTGGCAAAATGAAGTCAGGGCTGACTCTAAAATATTAATAGTTTCCGTTTAGCACAGAGAGTAGCCTCATTCTGTGTGTGTGTGTGTGTGTCTGTGTGGGTAAAAGGGAGGTATGAAAGTGAAAATAGGTTTGTGCAAGTTAATTTTTGAGATGTCTAGTTGTGAAGGGGAGCAAAGAAATGATGGAGTAGCTGCAAGAGGGACAGAGGTACAGGGAGGGTAAGAGACATGACATTATGTGTCTATGTTGACAGGAATGACCTAGTAGAGACAGACCAATGACAAAGACATGCTAGAAGATTCTGTTGTTCAAAATAAAAAAAAAGAGATGAAGCTGTTAATATCTAGGGAGATGTGAAGTAAGAGTGCCCCACATTTTATACCATGGAAGACAAGGTCTATGATTTGGTAGGAAGATTAGAAAAAGAAGTCATAAGAGAACAGAAGTCAAGCTGAGCCTCAAGGGAATTCCACCCTAAAAACTAATATAAACTTCACTAGCCATTCGAAGATTAGAGAAAAAGTGCCAGCAATCTGTAAATACCTGACTGAAGAATATGCTTAATTCACAGACAATCTCATCATCCCTACGGGGTATCTATTAATATCTAAAAATCTTAAAAATCATATACAGCAGTTGCCTACCCAGCCACTGTTAGGCACTGAAGTTCAGCTGCAATTCTTATGGGGTGACTTGTTGGAATTAAGTGTTTTAGAGCAATTTTCTCTTCAGGTCCGACTTGTAACTGTGCTGTGGCCAAATAAACAGAGCTGAAAGTGCCTGTAAAACAATTTATTAGAATCTTTTAATATTTTATTTTTAAAAATGTTTATGAGACAATGCTAAGATAATTCTTAAAAACTGGAAACTAAAATTATCATAATTTAATCATTAATATTCTAATGATACTGAACACAAGAAGCAAATACATTTGTACTAATAATTAGAACTTATTTTCAATTTTTAATACATTCTTAACTGTCGTCACTTCTTTAGGTGGTATATTAGTTCAGTAAAGCTATACAGTACATCTGTTTGATTGGGTCAGCATAAAATATTGGTATTTCTATGGTATGACCCATTCTAGTAAGTATCTATCTTTCTACAATATTACCATTTGAAATTACTATCTTAAGACTTGGATTCCAGTCTGTTAGAAATAAAAATTATAATCTTAGGAGAGGAAAACCTACAACATTTTTCATTTTAAAAAGTTTTTTAAACTTCAAAATTTACCATGAAACTAAACAGAAAAAAAATAAAAGACTGGGTGGTCAATTAAATTTGAGAAATAACTGAGTTAAAATAAATTGATAGATTTCTCATTACAAAATTTTCTAGACCTTTAATGTACTGAAGTACATCATAAATAACCAAAAAGGTGCTATACAGGCTATAATTTTCAAACTTATTAGCCTCAGATCACACTCCATCCCTCTGCCTCCCCAAGAGTAGTTAGCTGTTTGTTAGGAGGACACCAAAAGGGCTTCCCTGGTGGCTCAGTGGTAAAGAACCCTGCCAATGCAGGAGACATGGGTTCAATCTGTGGGTCGGGAAGATCCCCTGGAGGAGGAAATGACAACCCACTCCAGTACTCTTGCCTGGGAAATCCCAAACAGAGGAGCCTGGCGGGCTACAGTCCACGAGGTCCCAAAGAGTCGGACATGAATTAGCAAACTAAACTGTAACAACAAAGAGGACACCAGAGTTTTTCAAAACAAAGTTTTTGAATACTAAGTCAGTGCTAGAAAAAAGGTAAGAAAATTGACTTAAGTGTTAAAAACAGGTAAGAAAAAAGATGTAAAGATTTGATTTTTATATCGCAAATCATCTCATCATCTTATTTCTCTGCACTCACTGACTCAGCCTTTTCTCATCTGACACTTAACTGTGAAAAGCAAACAATGAGCAAATGGAAGTTGCTTTTTTTTCTTTTTACTAAGTTTTTATTTTCTATCTCTCAATATAGTCACCAAAAAGTTCTATTATCTTTTATCTTCTCATTCCCCTAACATTTGTCTGCTAAATTTGCCCTTCATTCAGTCAATATGATTGTGTCTCTGAATGATATTTATGTAAACACTGACCATCCTATAAATATTATACCAGTTTATTTTCATCAATTTGCCATCTTAGGTTTCATATATGTTTAATTCTACCTAACTACAATGGAAAAAGAGAAAAAAAGATTTGGCTTTCCCTGATTAAACCCCCCCACTTAAATCTTAAACTTTTTATAGATAATTATCATTAATAATTATTAACATATTGATATCAATACTTTTAATAGTATAAAATTATAGTTTCAAATAGGACTGTTCATTTTACTGTATGTATTTATTCATTCTTCCTTTCCAAGGAAAAGAGAAAGTTGTTATGCCAATTAATAATATAACCATGGTCTTTGTATTTTAAAAGGGGTATTTATCTCATAGGAAACAATAATGAAAATCAAGATTATACAAAGGAAAAAAGGAGGAAAAAAGAGCTTATACAAATAATGAAGTATATACCCAAATTACCTTCTCCAATTTTGTCCTTAATGTTAAACAGATTGCCAAGCTGTGGTACAGCTTCATAAAGCTTCTCAATATCCTTTTTAACACCTATCAAGGCAAAAAAGAATTCAGTTACAATTAATGAGTATATTTTATATTTTCTTAGGTTAAAATATCTCAAAATAATTTCTAAAACGTAGGTAATATGTTACATTACATTAATTACAAACAAAAATAGCTACAATAAACCTTAAAATTATAAGACTAAAATCCCATCAAGTTGCTCTAACTCACACACCTCTTGAAGGAACAGACAAAACTGAAAAGTAACTGAATCACTCACACCCAACTGCTGCTACTCTAAAACTACATTCTGACAGACACACTGTCACTGCATAGAGTACAACACAATGAAGAAGCTAAGTTTAAAAAATAACTAAACAATCTGAGCTGCGATCACTAGATGGCATGACAAGGACATAACGCAATTTTCTTGAAAACTATTTCCTTCCTCCAAAGATGCAAAATCTTACAGGCTTGGAAAAGTTTTATATATTGAATATTCACAGTATAACCTAGAAAGAAGCTCTACTTAAGGTCTCAGGAATGTTAAAAAAATATTCTTTAAAAATTGTCCCAATTACCAGTAGTATCCTATATCCTGAAAGCAGATAAATCATTACTTTTAACTAAATATAACCTTTTTGCAAAAGCCTGCATGGTTAAAATACAGAAAGCCAATAATTCAAAATGTGATAAACTACTGGATACAAAGGATACAAAGGATATTTACATACTTAAGAGTCCTCAGATTTTATCACAATATCTAGGCCAAGCATTAGCTACTTTTAAAGTTATAACAACACTCTGCATCTGCAACAGTTTAAGATATTTTCAAAGTACCTACACATGTTTTATCTTTTCAGATACAGCATTTTTTCAGATCTACATAACAGCACTGTGATATTGGGAGATCCTGGTCTTTCAGATAAGGAAACCATATTCAGGTAAGTTAAGTCACTTGCCCAATTTCACAGAGGTACTGCTGACAAGTCTATCAGCCCACTCATTTAACAAACACTGTCTTTTTAAAAACACCCAGCAATTGTATTAAAAAACAAATGAGCAAAGTTGGTGTTCTCCAGGAGCTTGATGATTGCTCAGTCAGGCCTGACTCTTTGCAACCCCGTGGACTGTAGCCCGCCAGGCTCCTCGGTTCATGGAATTCTCCAGGCAAGATTACTGGAGTGGGTTGCCATTTCCTTCTCCAAGGGATCCTCCTGACCCAGGGATCCTGCATTGCAGGAATCTAGGAGCTTCCTCTAGTGGAAAAGACAGAGGTTAAAACCTCACTTTTAATACAAGATTTTAATTGTAATATTAGAAGAGTTGCACAGTCTGACACGACTGAGTCACTGAGCATACACCTACTCATATATATTACTAGGTGGAAGGGGAGGGGAATGAACATCTCTGAAGGTGACTTCCAGTCACTAGAAAGAAATAATAACATCCCTGAAGGTAACTTCCAGTCACCTTCAGGAGACAGTTAACCAGTGTTTCTGAAGCATTTACCAAACAGAGAACTGTACAAGAAGGCATTTTAGGAAGGAACTACTATGTATGCAAAGACAAGCAAAAGGAAAAAGGCAAGGATTACTGTGGAGGGAGGGGAGAGTAGGAGAGAAGATAAAATTGAATGTGGTTGCTAAAATTCAGGCTTCCCTGGTGGCTCAGAGGTTAAAGCATCTGCCTGCAGTCCAGGACACCCGGGTTCGACCCCTGAGTCGGGAAGATCCCCTGGAGAAGGAAATGGCAACACTCCAGTACTCTTGCCTGGAGAATCCCATGGAGGCAGGAGCCTGGTGGGCTACAGTCCACGGGGTCGCAAAGAAAAAGCAGAGGATGCAAGTAAGAGCCATGTAAAGTTATTAGGCAGGAAGATGACAAGCGGAAGATAAATTTGAGGGGAAGAATACTAAGAGGTGAAAATTAAATAAGAGGCCAAGAAGACCTAATCCAGAAGTCTTTCTACTCTTATCACTCCATCTAAGTAACAGAAAGAACTTACTTAAATTATTTAAATTACCCTCACAAAGAGTCAGACACAACTTGGTGACTAAACAACTAAAACACCTTCCTATCTACCATGCAGGTGAACTGGAAAAGCTTTGTGGATTTCAATACTACTAGAGGCAATATAACAGTAATTATGTGAGCCAGTTTTAGAGATGAGAGGTCTAAATCAAAATTCTGGCTCCAGTTGGTATGACCTTTCTAAAGCACACAGCTTACATCTGTAAGCCTTAGTTTCCCTATTTATAGAAAATGGGGTAATATTAGTACCCATGCTGTTGAAAGACTATGAGGATTAAATGAAACAACATACAAAACACAAACGCAGCTTTTAACACAATGTCTGACACATGATAAATATTAAATAAATTATACTGGTGATTCTTATTGTTGTGGTTATGATTAGTAACATTACTTCTTTAAGGCTTTTGCTCTTTCTGTTCCCCTTGCTTGAAATCCTCTTCCCTTATAACTTTACATTGCCTAAATCAATTTTCAGTTTCCTCTGACATCCTACTTAAATTAACACTCCTCCCCATTATCCACTTTACCCTGTTAATTGTCTTTTGGTGTTCTTATCCACTACAAAATTATGCTGTTTATTTAATTGTTTGCTGTTTGCCTCCTCCCACTAGAATATAAGCTCCATTAGTACAGGCTCCCTGTCTGTATAATTCACAAAGCACTCAGCTCTTAGAACACTGTCTGGCACGTTCGTTGAATGAATGAATGTTTACTATCATTATGGTCACTCAGACAGCTCCAAAAAAAAAAAAAAAAAAAGCAAAAATTTGTAAGTTACAACAGAGTGAAGCCAAAGACAACAGAAATCCCTTCACTATTAGCTACCACACTCCTTCACTCTGGAAACCAAAACCAAGGCCTGGGGGGAAAGCTGGCTTTCCAGCAGTCATAGTTGCCACAGTCAATTATAATCATGTCTAATGAGTGTCAAATCCAACCAACTTCAAGTTCCAGTGTCACAGAAAAGGCATTATGAAAGGGCACTAAAATATGTTCAATTTGCTACAACATTTCTTTGATTCTAAGACACAATTTTAACAACTCTCAAACTGGGATGCAACTTACAACTGTGGTTGGTCAGCATCAAAACTTACAGAATAGGAGTCAATAACCTGAAGAAAATAAAAAAAAATCAGAGAAACATTCACATTTAACCCTTAAAGAGTCAAATGACTGTAGGGAGGAATTGTAGAGGTGACGAAGTACAAATCAAACACAGGCTAGCTCCACATAACTGGCTGGGCTTTTCTTAAGAACCCATTAACAGGGAATTCCCTTGTGGTCCAGTGGCTAAGACTCTGTGCTCCTGATGCAGGGGGGCTGGGTTTGGTCCCTGGTTAGGGAACTAGATCCCACATGCCACAACTAAGACTCTATGCAGCCAAATAAATAAAAATAAATGTTAAAAAAAAAAAGAACCCATTAACAATGGCTTTTTTTTTTAATGAATTCTTGAAAGAAATTCTGCATCGCTAATATATGAGAACAATGCTAGGAGGGAAAAAATAGGGTATCAATAACTCTGAATACAAAAAGTGATTCAGAAGAGATAGATCCGAAATGTTTCTTTTCCTTTTCATGTATGTACTAGAGATATGTAATTATTTGTCTAGTTACATCTAAAAGAACTCTTTCAGTAGGTATATAAAAACATTGCTGGTGATAAGCCTTGTGTCACAGTATAACTGACAGCATTTCTGAGCAGTACATAAAATAATGGTATATCTTAACAATCAACAGTATTTAGGTACGGTGAAATATTTTAACAACCTTTTGTGCTCTTTTTATTACTAAATGTATGTGTTCGTATGTATACTTTGTTGTATGCACATGATTAATAACACCAATAGCTTTGTAGTAGGATGATACAGTTTCATATGGCTATTTAAGTGTAATCAAAATTAAATAAATTTAAATTAAAAATTAACTTCCTCAGTCACACTAGCCACATACGAACAGCTCTGTTATTGCAGAAAGTTCTACTGGACAGTGCTGATACAGACACTCTGAAATCTAGAGTCTGGAATCAACTCCTATCATTAAACCACATTAGTGCTCAGGTTTTTAACCTGTAAAACAAAGGAGTTGGATTAGATGAACTTCACCTTCCAACTATAATATTCTATGGCTTTCCTATGAGTTCCATGTTCGGAACCTCCCTTTGCATAAACATGAGCTGGCAGTTAGTAGTAGAGACGCTGGTTAGCTGTTAGAAATAACTAGAAAGAAAAGATAAGTAGTAAAATACTGTAATGCACAAGCTGTGTGAATGACTATGCAAGCTCAATGTGCTTCCATACCACCAGCACTTACTATGCAGTTACCCATCTGTACAAAATTCAAATTATGTTATATGAAGGTTTCCTGCTTGCAGAACAACTTTGATGTTTCTGAACGGAAAAACTTCCTGACAATCAAAGTGAATGAAAAATCCCCAGTGTGGAAAAACCCCCAGATTCTGAAGTGGAAGATGAGAGTTGATCTTGGAAGACAGTATTCATGTCAAAAGCTAGAAAATACTATTAAGGGCAGAGACCAATGAATATCAGAGACCAATGAAAATACACTTTTGAGGATTGGGAAAAGACCCTGAAAAGTCCACAAAATAAAATATTATTTAAATTATTAAATATTATTTAAACGAAGATCTAGGCTTCTGTTTTGAAATTTTAAGTTAATTTTTTCCTGTTTCGTAATACATCTAAAATGGTTATAGCAACAGCTTCCGTAACTATACTCCCTGCTTTCACCCTCAAGGACCTATAATCTACTTGTAACATAGCAGCCAGAGTGACGATAAGTCACCATATCACTACTCTGCACAAACCCACTAACAGTTTCACATCTTGCTCCACGTAAAAGCCAAAGAACTACCTCCTTTCCTTACCTCTCTTTGCCTTCACTCTCATCACTCACCTCCTTGCAGTCACATGACCTCTTGCTGCTGCTGCTGCTAAGTCGCTTCAGTCGTGTCCAACTCTGTGCAACCCCATAGACGGCAGCCCACCAGGCTCCTCCATCCATGGGATTTTCCAGACAAGAATACTGGAGTGGGGTGCCATTGCCTTCTCCCAACATGACCTCCTAGCTATTTCTAGATGCGAGCATACTCCCAGCTTAGGGCCTTCACACTTGCTGACTGCTCTGCCTGGAATGCCCCTCCCCAGGTATATGCAAAGCTCCCTCCTTCACCACCTTCAAGTCCTAGTTCAAACGTTACCATACTAGAGCTTCCCTGGTAGCTCAGTGGTAAAGAATCCGCCCACCAATGCAGAAAACAGGGGTTCAGTCTGGGAAGACCCCACATGCCACAGAGCAACTAAACCTGTGCGCCGTAACTACTGAGCCTGTGTTCGAGAGCCTGGGAGCAGCAACTACTGAAGCCCAAGCAACCTAGAGCCTGTGCTCTGCGCCAAGTGGAGCCATCGCGACGGGAAGCTGGCACATCGCAGTGAAGAGCAGCCCTGGCTCACGGCAACTAGACAGAAGCCTGCACAGCAACGAAGACCCAGCACAGGCAAAAACAAACAAACAAACATTATTTTTTTAGAAAATGTTACCACACTGAAGCCTTCTCTGACCAGTTACACTCACTAAAATCACAGTCTCCTCCCCAATGCCTGTCTCCCCTCCCCTGCTACATTTGTTTTCACTGCACTAATCACTTTTGAATATACTATTTATCTATTTTCTGTCTCTATCCACTAGATTGAGGGCATTGATTTTTTTTTGGTCTGTTTTATGAACTGATTTATTACTAGCACCAAGCAAGGTGTTATGTTAAATGTAACAGAGGTTTAAGAAATATCTATCATATAAATGAAATGCTTTCAATTACTTACTATGGAGTAACACTGATACTCCAGGAATATAAGTCTTGCTTATTCTGGGGCTTCATGTACTGCCTAAAATTATGCTTCCTGTAACTTGTTTTACACATAATTAAATGTAAATTAAGATCACATAATTTAGGGAGATCACCTAAACTAGACACTCTTGAGAGTGAAAGGGGGCGCTCATAATTACACTGTGATAACAGGCATAAACTGAAACTGTTTCAGGCAAACCAGGATGTTACCTATAACCCACTTTAGAAGTGTGGGCTAAGAGCTATTCACATAACACACCAAAAGCAAGCCTTCCAATACAGTTCAACAGTATAGAGGAGACATTAGGAGCACAAGGAATTTCTTCTTTCGCTAAAAAGATCTTCATCACTTACTAAACTTGGCATATGGTAGACACTCAAAAAAAAAATAAATAAAAGCTTGCTGAAAATATGAAAGAATAAACTTTTGATAGTTTAAATAATATCTATTGTTTATAAATATCATTTATAAATATATCTACTGTTTTTAGATAGTATCTATTATAGAATAAACTATGCCAGGTACTTCATTCATTGCAGCATTTTTTGTAACAGGAAAAATGGCAAACAATCTAAAGCTTCAATAAGGAAAGGCAATTAAATAAATTATAGCATAACATGCAATGGAACATTAGGTGGTCTAAGCTACAGAATATTTAATTACATTTAGAAATATTCAAGATACATATTGCTAAGTTAAAAATGGAGATTAGAAATAAATTTGCTGACTCCAATTTTTTAAAAAAAATGTATCTCTGTATGCACAGGAAGACTAAAGAAAGGTAACAAAATGCCAACAGTGGCAATATCTTGATAGTGGCATATTCTCTTTCTATATTTTCTTCTCTAAGCATGTACAATTTTTATCAGAAAAATAGTTACTACATAAAAAGCTGACAGATATCCCAAAACAAAGGGTCATACTATGTATCCATTATACTAAGATTTTTACTTTATATCTTTGCATTAAAACATGCATTCAAATATTTTCAAGCACCTACTATGTGCTGAACAGAGTAAGGCTCTGGGAATACAAAGATATACAGAAATCCCACCATTCAAAAGTTATTCTATCAAGACAAATCATACTAGAACACGAAACAGTTAGGTGCCTGGACTTCATCAGTTTTATTCCTTATTCAAGTTATGTTTTTGATATAACGTTAGCTTTTTATTAAGGGTCAAATAAAAAAGAACCATATGAATACAATTTCAGCATGCTTTATAAATTATAAAAAGCACTGTTTATAATGTTCAATGTTCTGCAACATAAAAGCTACAAAACTTTAGAAATCTGGAATAAAATCCACCCCACTCTATTTCCTAGCAGATTTTCAGAAGAGTATTAGAATAATAGCTTTTACCTGAACATTTGCTAGAGCCAAGTCAGATTCATTTATTCATATACTCTGCTTAATGCACAATGTACATCAAGAGCTATACAAGATACTGCCTTCAAAGAGCTTACAGTATTACTGAAGAGGCAAGATGTACAGAGTGCTTAATAATACAAGAATAATAATATAATGACTGTTACTGTATGTGTCTGATGACACAGGGAAAGCTGAACCTTGAAAAACAGGTAATTGAAAAAAAATGGATGGGAAGAGGGAGAGTATCCATGAAACTGGATGAGAGTGGCATTTTAAGATTATTCTAGTGGCAGTGTACAAAATGAACTGGAAGATGAAAAAGGAAGTGAAAAGTGGCAGTTTAAGTAAGAAACTTCACTGTAATTCAGGAGCAAAGTGTAAGGGAATGAAAGTGGGAATGGGAAGACAAAATTGGGGGCCTGGATGAGGGCAGCAAATACAAAGCCAGAGTCAAAAATAACTTTTAAGTGTGAAGTTTTAAGTGCAGATACTTTAACTGGAATAATAGTGGCTTTCATCAAATAGGGACATCAAAGGGTACTTCCATCAAATATGGTACTTTAACATCAAAGATGAGTTAAGCTTTAGTCAGAGAGCGAAAGCAGGGGATGTCATATTTCTCCAGGGTTCAAGTTAAAGTCTACTTTGTAGTGTTTGAGTTTATATAGGTATATCTCATGAACAAAAAGTCAAAATTAATATTTTTGAAAAAGCACTAAATATGCTTAAGACAAAGATGGAGCAAGAAGACTTAGCTACATTTTAAGGGGAAAAAAATCAACAGTTAACTGGAACTCCTATTTAATCAATATTTATTGAATGTCTACTATGTTGCAGACACAGTGCTACAGTAGGAATAAAGGTGCACATTATAGTGTACAAGATCAGGCACTGTTTGATACTCTCCTCATTTCAAGGTCTGGGTGAGAGTCAAACATTTCATGATGTACACTGAGATACAATCCTTTATTACTGCTACAGACACTTCATTTACTTTTGTCAATGAATTCTACCTTGGAATACTTAAGTGAAAGTCCCTCCAACGTCCATTTCTAAATTCAAGCTTAACGCAATATGGTGAGTAGAAATAAGAACACAGGTCTAGAAGAGAAATTCTAGTTTGGCTATCAACAAACTGTGATCTTAGACAAGCACTAATATTTAGATTTTAGCAACTTCACCTGTAAAACGACATGGCTGGACTACAATCCTTCTAAAATGCAATGCAATCCTAAATCTAGATCTTATGTTTTACCGATTTGTAAAATACTCCTATATAAACATACAACTCACTTTAAGATTTAGTGTTTTGGTTTTTTTAATAATGGAAATTACAAAATTGTTGCCTACATGTCTTTGGAAATAAACACATACCTGGTGGTTTAAAATTCTGCTCTTGTTTTTTTAATGAGCCATCCGCCTGAAACCGGCCACCAAGGGGAGAAAAAACCATTGGCTTATCCATCTGAAACCCCAAAGCAGGCTCCATCACAAAGCAAGTGGGGTGCAAAATGCCAGCTACAGGGTCATGTCCGCAGGGGAACCAAAGCAGCTATGAAAATCAGAATACTGGAGAACATGAGAAGTTTAAATCATTTAGTGAACTAACCACTAAAAATGCTACTGTCCCCAAAGCAAATACTTAAAAACGCACCTTTGTCCAAATCCCCAAAGGAAGGAAAACTGTGAACCATTTCTAAAGATTCCACGGGCTTCACTTTCACCTCCCAGACAAACCGGCAAGAGCTAAAGGGAAAACTGCCTACCCGGGGAGTCTCCCGGTAGCAAACGCCGGTGGAAACTGCAGAGGTAGCGAATCGGGTAGGGGAGGCCTTAGCGTGGAGAACGGTTTGACCTGGAGGAAGAGGTTGGGGGAGAACTTTTGACTACCGAAAGGGAGCGCCGGGAGGTTTGTCCAAGGCCCAGTGCAACGTGGTGGAGAAATGATAACGTCTCGGCTTAGGAGCGCTGGGCGGAAGGGAACGGGGACAAGAATGCGATCCCTCCCGGAGCCCGGCCCGCGAGCTCCGCGGGGAAGGACCTAGTCCCTGAGACCCGAGACCGAACTGGATGCTTAGTGCGCAGGCGCATGACATTCCCGCCGCGGGTCAGTGGGACCCGCAAGGGTTTGGGGGTGTTACTGAGGTGCGACGAGAGGGAAATCACAATCTAGAATTCGTTCCTAATCCCTCACAATCCCGCGCCATGGAACAAACCGTCGGAAACTCACGGTTTAAAGGAATACGGCTTCTGAGGCTTCTCAGATGTTTGGGTCGCCGCCTCCGAGTCCGCCAAACGCGCCTGCGCAACACTTCCCGCCTCGCCGCTTTTAGTTACACATGCGCACTGTAAGGCCCTCGGAGCTCTGGCATCTGCTTCTAGAAGATTGCGCAAGGGGGTTGGGTTTCTTCCCTGAGGCTCTGGCTGTTTGAAAGAACTGTTACAGATGTAAAGTCCGGGAATAATCCTTTAATAAAGAATAGAATGAAACTTAAGGTGAGGGCTTTAATAGATTTTCAGGAAAAGGGGTAATTCAGAAGTCTCAGGTACTGTAGTTCTAACACATCCTGACTACAGAGACGTTGGGCACTCTGGAAAAAAAGACATTAACTTCCTTGACTCCATATTCACTTCTTTTTGTTGAGTGCCTTAGTTATCCGTTAAACCAAACAAACAAAAAAGGCAATTGCCAATTGTTTATGGCTGTATTCGAGGAAATGAACCTAGTGACAGTCAATCAGTCAGTATACATTTGAGCTCTTGGCTTTGCGGCTGGTTTCCTTAGGCTGGGCTTACAGAGGTGAATATGTGATGGAAAAAACCTCCGTCCCTTAATGAAGCCAAATTCCAGTGAAGCAGTGGCAATAAACAACAAATGAACAACATTCTTTCAGATGTCGACAAGGGCTCCAAAGAAGGAAATAAAGTGGAAGGAAGTGATAGTGACCAAGAATGAGGCACCATGATGGGAGCCAAATGGGAAAAAGACTACTTGGCAAAGGAGAGAGTAAGTGCCGAGATAGGAATGAGCTTGGTAAGTTCGAGGGGGGAAAATTTTGCAGAACATCAACATCAGACAAGGCCACTCTGACCATGATGGATCAAGAGCAAGAAAAAGATTACTCCGTAATCATATCAGAATATAGACTAAATATAACTATTGTCCAAGCCACAAATATGAGCAAACATTTCCTTATCCTTGCTGATATGAGTGACTGCTGCTTCTTTGCTAATTATAATTTTAGCCTCTTTCCAGTGGCTGATACTCAAATCATTCTGGATAGTACTAACTAAAATAAACAATTGTAGAATTACTTCTGCCTTCCTACAGCCTCCAATCCAGAGCAAAGTCCCTCTCCTTGAGCCCTTCCCTAAATCACAATATTTGAGTTCAATTCAGTTGCTCAGTCGTGTCCGACTCCCTGCAACCCCGTGGACTGCAGCACACCAGGCTTCCCTGTTCATCACCAACTCCCGGAGCCTACTCAAATTCATGTCCATTGAGTCAGTGATGCCATCTCATACTCTGTTGTCCTCTTCTCCTCCCACCTTCAATCTTTCCCAGCATCAGGGTCTTTCCCAGTGAGTCAGTTCTTTGCATCTGGTGGCCAAAGTATTGGAGTTTCAGCTTCAGCGTCAGTCTTTCCAATGAAGATTCAGGACTGATTTCCTTTAGGATGGACTGGGTGGATCTCCTTGCAGTCCAGGGGACTCTCAAGAGTCTTCTCCAACACCACAGTTCAGACAAATCCAAATTTATAACACCCTGTTACTGAGATGTCATATGATTGTCCATGCTGTACATTCTCACTGAAACAAGTAATAAACCTAACCTATTCATTACAGTTGTGTTCTTAGTGGTCTTTTGGTGGAAGGCATTGATAATAATCAAGTCTAAGACGCCTGTTAAGATATTTAAGTGATAATGTCAAGTAAACAGTTGAATATATTGATCTGGAATGGAGTCAAGGCTAGAAACATAAATATGTCAGTTATAAGTTTATATGTGAAACTTAAAATTTTGGGACTAGATGAGGTTATCCAAGCAGACTGTAGATAGAGAACTGGGCTATGGGAATCTCCAACATTTAAAAGTTGTGCCGCAGAGGAAAAAGAACCAGCAAGAGATTGAGAAGGAATAACCTGTGAGGTAAGAAGGTGATGTCATAGTAATCAAGGGGAGAAAGTTTTACAATTGAACAAGAGTGGTTAACTATAGCAAATGCTTCCCAAAAGTTAAGTAGCAAGGACACAGATGACACAGAAGTGACAATGAATTTGGCAAGATGGCAGTCATTAGTCTCTGGCAAGAATAGTTTCAGAGGCATAGTGAGACAGAAAGACTGAAGTGTATGAAGAGCAAAAGGTGTACAAGTGGGACAAGTCTTAAGGTTTTGTTTCGTTGGTTGGTTGGTTGGTCAGTTTTGTTTTTGTTTTTGGAGGGGAAGATCAAAGAAACAGGATGGTGGCTATAGTTGGTCAAATAGAGCAAGGGAAGTTTTTGTTGTTGTGTTGGTTGGTAAGTGTTTATATTTTTTGTGGGAATGATGTAGTTAAGAAAAAAAAAATGATGTTCAAGAAAAAGAAAATACCTACAGAAATGAATAATCAAGTCTAAGATGACTGTTAACATATCTAAGTGATAATGTCATTTTAGAGGATGATGAAGGAATGGCCCCAAACCATAAGGAGAGGGGATGGCCCTTTGAAAAGAACCTAGATTCCCATCCTTTTAATAGGAGGGAAAGAGAAGATTTAATTCAGAAGCAAAGGTTTGTGTTTGGGTGGGAGAATAAGATAGCTCTGACCTGATTACATCAATTTTCTTTATAAAATATGAGATGAGGTCTTCATCGAGAAAGGGATATTAGAGGTTAGAAGAGTGAGAAAGTCAGAGGTATCTTCTGAGAGTGAGAAGGTAAACTGTGGAAATATGATGATACTGCTAGCAGGGTTAAAAGCCTGTTTTTTATTTGTGTCACAAGTTTAAAGTGAGTTCAGACAGCATAGCATTATGTTTATTTTCTCAAGTAAACTTCAGTCAAGAGAATGCAAATGTGGAAATGATTTAAGTAAGGATGAGTATCACACAGAAAGGAACAAGGTGTTTATGAGAAAATGATTGTAATGCTGCACAACTAAATCTTTGGGAGGTGAAGGGGAAAGGTTTTAGGAAGATGTTAGATAGTGATATATAGATTGATGGGCCAATCAGTCAATAGATAGATGAGAAGTGCTGGGAACAATGAACTGGAACTCTCCCTGTAGTGTAAGGATTGGTATAATGGAGGTATAAGGTTGAGTTAGAAAGACAGAGATGGTATGTGGTGTGTGGAATGGTGAACACTTGGATTTCAGACATGAGAGCATTCCAGAAGGTAATTAAATTTTATGGAGGAAAAGTTGTGTTTTGGTGTGAAAAGACCAAGTTATCCCAATTCCAAAACCCATGCTCAGGCTCAGTTATTTTGTCTAATCCAATTTCTCCCCTAACCTCATTACCTCCACCATAGTTTGGCCCCAGGGAGGAAACACAGCCCCACCCATCAACAGTAAAGTGAAGTGAAGCCCTCAGTCATGTCCCACTCTTTTTCGACCCTGTGGACTGTAGCCTACCAGGCTCCTCCATCCATGGGATTTTCCAAGCAAGAGTACTGGAGTGGGTTGCCATTTCCTTCTCCAGGGGAATCTTCCCAACCCAGGGATTGAACCTGGGTCTCCATTGTAGGCTTTACCATCTGAGCCTCTAGGGAAGTCCCATCAACAGAAAATTGGTTTAAAGATTTACTGAGCATGACCCTGCCCATCAGAACAAGACCCAGTTTCTGCCTCAGTCAGTCTCTCCCATTAGAAACTTCCATAAGTCTCTTATCCAAATGACAGAATGATCTCTGTTCATTTCTAAGACACACCATTCTATATCACATTAATCCAAGTCTATGCCCCGAAAAGTAATGCTGAAGAAGCTGAAGTTGAATGTTTCTATGAAGACCTACAAGACCGTTTAGAACTAACACCCAAAGTCCTTTTCATTATAGGGGACTGTAATGCAAAAGTAGGAAGTCACAAAATACCTGGAGTAACAGGCAAATTTGGCCTGGGACTACAAAATGAAGCAGGGCAAAGGCTAGTAAAGCTTTGCCAAGAGAACGCTCTGGTCACAGCAAACACCCTCTTCCAACAACAAAAGAGAAAACTCTACAAATGGACATCACCAGATGGTCAACACCGAAATCAGATTGATTATATTCTTTGCAGCCAAAGATGGAGAAGCTCTATACATTCAGCAAAAACAAGACTGGGAGCCAACTGTGGCTCAGATCATGAACTCCTTATTGCCAAAGTCAGACTTAAATTGAAGAAAGTAGGGAAAACCACTAGACCATTCAGGTATGACTTTAATCAAATCCCTATGATTATACAGTGGAAGTGAGAAATAGATTCAAGGGATTAGAGCTGATAGAGTGCCTGAAGAACTATGGACAGAGG